TTGTGGTTTTTCTGAGCACCTGCAGCCTGCACCAGGACCTTATCTCCTTAGACTCCACTCTCCCCACAACACGAATGGAAATCTGCAGGGGAGTGTGTTCGAAGTTATGGGACTCCATGCTGGGAGCCTCAACTGTGGCTGTCAGTGTGCTACAGCTCTATTTTGAGTGTCATCACTAGCATTCTCAATTTGATACCTGCACATTTACATTCTAAATCTCCATTTCAACATAATAGGGTATCCAACAAGAGTGCCTCCAGGGCCCCGTTCCCATTGCCTTCTTGGCAGGCACCCTTCCCATTCTGTCCCATATACTTTACTTCTTCCCCAGCACCATCCCCATCGAGCGCCCCTGGCAGGCTTCTTCCCCATCCTGTCACATATATGTTGCTTCTTCCTCCCCAACTAGTTCCTGCTTGCTCGGGACAATAAACTTCAGGAAATAGTTAATTTAGCTTCCATTTGCTTGTGATTGATAAACTTCAAAGAGAGTCTAATTCCTGTTTGCTTCAGAAAGAGTCTAGTATCAGAAGATGGCTTGACTCAGGTGGATGAACACAATTCACAGTGCACCAATAAATTAGGGAAGGTGCCACTTGCCTAATGCTGACTTCTGGTTCTGTTGGTTCCTGCTTGCTTACTTGTACCTGTAGATTAGGAAAAAGGGAACTTCCAAACTGGGGGTGAGAGGTATGTTACCCTGACTTGGTTGAGAGGCGGGCACCCAACACTTGACTGTGGTTGCCTGCTGGCTAATAAAAGGCTCTCCATTGGCTATATATTTTGTTAGAATGGTGGCTCCTGGGAACAACCACCCTACAGTAAGCTTTATTACAGTAAGATTTATTGCACACGGTTTTGATCAACAGCAGCTAAAAATAATAAATAACAAAAATGAAATTTTGGAAACAAAAAAATTTAACCTCACGTGCTTATTACACAACTCACTTGGTGTGGAACAACTTTCAGCCAGTCTCGAGTCATTTGCATTTGTGTTTAAATTGCTGTATTGTCAGTTACTTTTGTGAAAATATGCCTCACAGAAAAATTGAGAAATTGTGAAAAATTGAGAGTTGTTAAAGGTTTGCATATCTTTAATGGAAATAAATGAAATAAAATAAATAACAACAAGTGATATGAAGTAATCTCTTCCAGAATCCCAATGTCACTCCCCTCTGCCATGGTTGACACCTCCCCCAGGCCACTGTATGGAGCCTTCTGGGCTCCTGAAGTATTTACAATGTGTACATAGAATTCTTTCCCCATGTTTAACATTACAAGTGCAGCCAAGGGCACTCCAGCTCCCATTCAATTACCCTGATCTAATTTGCATGAAGTTCATAACACTGTGCAATGAATTACTTGTTTCAGGTTTGTTCATTCTGTTTCCCCATGAAATACAAGCTTCATGAAAGCAGATTAATCCACTGACATAGCCTTACTAGTGTACAAAACAATAGCCTTCTGTATAAAACTATGACAGATGACATAATGCATTTATAATTGAACAAATGTGTCAGTGTTCACCTCGCCACTCCCTCTTCAACATATTACCTTAGTAACTTTCCTGTCTTAATTTAATAGATGAAAAAGGCCAGTATAATCCTTCTCCACTTTTCTCCACCAAACTGCAGTCTATTTCTCTCTACCTATTCCATTATTCATCATATATTTTGCTTAGTTTCACTATGCTGTCCTCATATATCCTTGCAATGTCTTACATAGTTATTTAGCCTCTTTCTTTTCCTATTCTCTCCCCTTTTATCCTGAGCAGTCTTTTAGCTTGTTCTATCTTTACCTGTCTAAGTAATTATTTATATGTATGCTTATGTATATGTCTGTGAATTTGTATATCTTTAGATGTAGCTTCTATATATGAGTTAAAAAACACTATTTTTTAGAACTTGCTATTCTCACTCAGTATGACATCCTCTAGTAACATCCATTTTTCTGAAAATTACATAATCATTTTCTTTATGACTGGGTAATATGTCATTACATATGTGTGTGTGTGTGTATATATATATATACATATATATATATATATATATATATGCATATATATATATAACATCACAGCTTCTTTATCCACTTATCTGTTGAGGAAGAGCTAGTTTGATTTCATTATTTGGCTATTGTGAACAAGATTGTAATCCATTTGTAGGTGACAAACAGATATCCAGTTTTGGTTTTATGCATCTGGATACCTTGTTTCCCCAGCACAATTAGTTGAAAATGCTATTTTTTTCTTATTGAATGTTCTTGGTTCCTTTGTTGCAAATTAGTTGGCTGTAGGTATGTGGTTTTGTTACTGAATATTCTAGGCTATTCATTGGTCTGGTCTGTGTGCCAGGACCATGGTGTTTTTGTTATTATGTCTCTATATTATAATTTGAAATATGATACTGTGATATCTCAAGTGGTGCTCTTACTACTTAGACTTACTTTTGGGATTCAAACTCCTCTTTTCTACCATACAACTTTCAGGTTGATAACTGTTATTTGTGAGGAATGATAGAGGGATACTTATTGGCAATGCAACACATTTTTACATTGATTTTGGGTGAATAGACATTTTTATTTTATTTTTAATTTTTATTTATTTTTTATTGTGAAAATACTGCGCAGAGGGGTTACAATTACATGGGCAAGATAATGAGTACATTTCTTATCAAGCATTGTAGCCTCCTCCTTTGTTTCCCCTTTCCATCCCTTCCCAGCCTCCCCCGGACCCCCCCAATCCCCCCCAATCCTCCCCACACACACACACACACCAAAGTTGTAAACTTCGTTTTCGACATATGGTAGGCAGGCATTCAGGTACATGACTAGGCTTTTTTGGCAGTGGTTATATTTGGAATCCTCCTACTTTATGACTGAGAGACCAAAAATAAGTTTAGCAGTAATTTAAGACAAAACTAAAACATTTGTCTTACTTTCCAGTAACAGTTAGATCCTGCACCAAGGCAAGATAACAGTAGAATTATTAAGGGATCAGGCTTCCCTGACCAGTCCAGGAAATTGGGCAGTCTCTCCCCCCAACTCTGTCAAGAAAACAGTTAGGACAAGACATAATTCAGCATTTCTGTGGTTAGCCCCACTTATCCATCCAATGATGTATGATTTAACCTATCCTGTAACCACTAAGCTAGAAAGTTCCTGCCCTTACTGGAAATGATCATACCCCTAACCAATGAGCTTGACATCCTTCCCACTCCTACGTAAAAACACTGCTGAACATGTGGTCGGGGCTCACAACTCTGACCCACTGCATCGGCAACGATTGTGAGTCCAAGCTTGAACTTGCAAATAAACGACTCTACTGTCACTTACATTGATCTTGGTCTCTGGTGGTCTTCAGGGGGTCTTGAGTTTGAGTCTATCAATGATTCCTACTGTTCCTGACAGGATGGTATGCACTTATGTGCCCAGATTCTTCCACTGAGATAGAGTCCCTGAACATTTCTGTGTTGGCTGGCCTCTACCTCTTATGCTCCATTCTCAGGCTCCTGCATATAAAAATATGGGATAGGTTCTGGCAGGGGTGGTATACCCAAGAATGCCTCTTGCCTTCTATGAGTTTAAAATCCCAAGGGAGACATCACACACACACACACACACACACACACACACACACACACACACACACACACACAGAAAGAGAGAGAGAGAGAGAGAGAGAGAAGAGAGAAGCGCATACATATACAAAATAACTTGAACATTAGAATTGGAGATCTGGAAAGTTCTTCTCCTTTATTTCTTTCACTTTTCCCCCTCCTCTTTCTCTTTCTTTCTTTTTCTACCTCTCCTCTCTCCCTCCCTCCCTTCCTTTCTTCCTTCCTTCCTTCCTTCCTCCTTTCTTTCTTTCTTTCTTTCTTTCTTTCTTTCTTTCTTTCTTTCTTTTTTTCTTTCTTTCTTCCTTTCTTTCTTTCTTCTTTTTCTTTCTCTTTCTCTCCCTCCCTCCTTCCCTTCCTCTTTCTGTGCCTTCCTCTCTCTCTGGGGTGTTAATGTCACATGATAGCAGAGAAGAGGGATTTCTTGGACTCTGTCTTTTCTTACCAAGTACCTTTCCACCTGCATGTCCTGAGCAAGAGCATGGGACTGCCCCTCAGGACATGATCTTGAAACGTTCCTACTGCAGTGTCCCATGAGTGGCTCCATGAAACATAGGGCTGGTGAGGAGTTGTGATGAGCTCTTAGAAGCATGGACCAGAAAGAAGCAATGCCAAATTCAATTGTGTTGTCTGTAGAAGACAGAATAGATTCTGTATACCTCATTCAGTTTATTAATGCCTGCATGAAGATCACAAAATACCTGGATATATGAAATAGCTCACTTTGATGATTTGTCCCATGTCATGGGAAATGTTGGCTGGGATTTCCTCTTCCTTGGGAAGGAGAGGGGCCTTTTGGACTGAGCATTGACACTTCTGGAGATCCCAAGCTTGTGACAGTCATCCTATCTTGCCTCAGAGTGATTCATAACCTCCTAGGAGTCTATGAATTCCATCTGAGATTAGATCCCATTGTGGAGGAAGCTAAATCAACTCTTCCTGGGGAGAGTTTTCTCTTCCCAGTTTTCTCTTTCCCAGAAAGAAGCAATGCCAAATTCAGTTGTGTTGTCTGTAGAAGACAGACCAGATTCTGTATACCTCATTCAGTTTATTAATGCCTGTGTGAAGATCACAAAATACCTGGATATTTGAAATAGTTCACTTTGGTGATTTGATCCATGTCATGGGAAATGTTGGCTGGGATTTCCTCTTCCTTGGGAAGGAGAGGGGCCTTTTGGACTGAGCATTGACACTTCTGGAGATCACAAGCTTGTGACAGTCATCCTATCTTGCCTCAGAGTGATTCATAACCTCCTAGGAGTCTATGAATTCCATCTGAGTTTGGATCCCATTGTGGAGGAAGCTACATCAACTCTTCCTGGGGAGAGTTTTCTCTTCCCAGGACTGTGCCTATCAGCACCCTGGTTTGTGAACAGCTGAACCTACAGATTTCTCACTGTGTCTCCCAGAGCGCAGTAGTACACAGCTGAGTCTGACAGCTGGAGTGAAGATTTCTGCAGGTGGAAGCTGTTGTCACTCTTAACAAGAGTTGCATGGAAACCCCGGTTCTCTGACCTCGGGCTTTGTGTTGAACTCTTCAGGAGTAGCTCAGGGGCTTTATTGAGATATTGGACATACCAGAAAATAAAGGCAATTGAGTAAGTGCTCTGGTAAGTACAGTTGAGGATCAGAGGTGCCCCCTCTGTGAAAGTAACCAAGCCTTCTGTCTGGGTCACTGAGTCTCCACTGGTCCTCCCTGAAAAAATAAGTAACATTGTTATATGAGGAAAAAGGTTAAATATTATCGTAATTGTAAGACAAGGACATATTGTTAATATATAGGATAAACTATTACTTACTGTACATTAAAAAGATCACAAGAACTGAGCAGGTGACAGAAAGCATGTTGTTAGAAGGAAATGATTCTTGCTCCTTGTGATACACCCAGTCATACAGAGCTCTTTTCTACCAGGATTGTATTGAAACTCCTCACTCATGAATAAGACCTTCTTTCTGCACATCACTCTGACTTGTGACCACAAAGGGAGTAGGGGTGTTATACCACCTGAATGCAAATGGGACCTACATTTGAGAGTGCAGCGCCTTCTGGTGGTTGTCTGGAAAACTGCAAGACAGTATGGCTGACCCTGATTTTTTTTTTTTTTAGATTAAATTCTTTTTTGAAAAAAAATTTTATTTATTTTTTATTGTGAAAATACTGTACAGAGGGGTAACAATTACACAGGCAAGATAATGAGTACATTTCTTATCAAGCATTGTAGCTTCCTCCTTTTCTTCCCCTTTCCATCCCTTCCCAGCCTCCCCAGCCTCCCCCACACAATCTTCCCCCACACAATCCTCCCCCACACAATCCTCCTCCACACAATCCTCCCCCACACAATCCTCCCCTCCCCCCACCAAAGTTGTAAAGTTAGTTTTTTGACATGACAACTTGTGCTTCTCATTGTTGCAACGGGTCCAACTGTATTCTTATTTAAACGACTTGTTTTTCCCCTTCCCCTCCACAAATTATACCAACATCAAATACAGTGAAAGCAGGGGTTATACTGTGGGGGAGGGACATACAAAGCCACAAAGAAATCATCTTATAAATGCGTTAGAAACAAATGCATGAAAGAAAAAAACCATTTGAATACATATCTTAGGGTTCATTTTCCTAACATCACCTTGTCTGCCCATTTCTGCTTGACTCATACAAATACTAGAAGAGGCAATCCAAAAAGTCATATGGAACAATAAAAGACCCCAATAGTAAAAACGCTCCTCAATGGAAAGAACACTGATGGAGGAATATCAATACTAAATTTCAAACTCTACTATAAAGCCATAGTAATCAAAACAGCTTGGTACTGGCACAAGAACAGACCTCATGACCCTGATTTTTTTATTTCAGTGGACTCCCTTATGAATGGGAGATAAGTTCCAAGGCCTCCCATCAATGCCAGAAACCACTAGTAGTACTGGACTCTATGTATGATATGTTTTACCACACAAATACATATATATGTAGACATACACATAAGATTTACTTATAAAGTTAGGTATTTTGTTACAACACGTTTCTGTCTACCAGGACACATGCTATATTCAAATCACCCACAGAGTAGAACATTTTCCATCTGACTAAGCCCCTGCTATGATCTGTAGCAGTAAGCTTTTCAGTGAGAGTTACAACCAAAAGAACTGGCACATATTTACTTGACAAACTACTTAGCAAGGTCTAGTGATACAGCTCAATGATGGACCACCTATCAAAATATGCAAGGCCCTGAGTTTGATTCCCCATCTCCACAAAAACAAATAAAACAAAGTGTAAACAGTGACAAAAGGGTAGCTAGTTGTGCCCCATGGACATTTTGTACAGGGATGGTTCTCTCCTGAGTGGCAGAGCACAGGGGTGCAAGATTTCACTACAATGCAGAGTGGCATGACACTGAAAACTCATACACTTTTTATTTCTGGAACTTTCTGTGTAATACTTTTGTATTTTAATTGATGGCAGGTGATTAAAAACCATGTAAAGCAAAACATCCAATGCAGGAACTGCTATAAGACAGCTCAAGGGGAAGGTATATGCAGAAGGAAAACAGAATCAAACTTCAAGAAGAAAGCCATGGATATGTGCTTTACATATTTACAAGTGTACTTAGGATACTATGCAATTATTCAGAAATTCATTAGCCATGCACTTAACCCAGCTCCGTAAGATCTCCTCACACCAGGCAAGCCAAGACTTCTCCACTCTAGACCTCCAAGACTCAGTCACCTCTTGAGAAAAGCCAATCATCTATCCATGGGTAGTGCCATGGGAGTTGTTTATCTCTAAAAAGCTCTGTCTCCGACCAGGACCACACTAGGGATCAAGCCTCATCACAGGCCTTAGTAAGTCAGACCCCATTCAAACCACAGCAATGCTTATGTTTCTTAAATGTTGTAATACAGAAAAAACTAACTGCAGTTGCCTGAAGGGTGAGAAAAGTCACATTACACAAAGAATCAAAGCTAATAATAACAACTTTTAAACAAAAACAATGCAGGACAGAACACAACTAAATGACTAAAAGAAAAATATTTTAAATGGATCATGGTTTAAAGGTAAAACTATAATACTCTTTTGGTGTTTTGTGTTGAATAAAATATGTGACAGCAGTAACACTAAGGTGGAGGAATATGGTAAGTTCCCTTTGACCTAGATCAATTCTGCATTAGAGACACTATGAAGAAGGTCAGGGTCTCAGTGATGGTGGATGTAGGAATGATTCATTTTAAAGGCCACTTAGACAGGAAGAAGGATTACTAGGAAGCAGCAGGACCTGGATCCTGACTGACATTATCAATCATCTTATTCACAGTGGGTGGAATATGTCTTTGCTATGTTGCAGGTTGTAATGGTTTCATAACCCCAACCAGTAAGCTCCTTGAACTACATCTCCTGGATTTGGTTCTGATCTCCTGTAATAAGTATGTTGTCTGGGAAGATATCAGTAAACAAAACAGAAAAGCCTTTATGGGCACCAAATTCAAGGGAGTGAGATGAAGCAGTTAATTCATATAGTGAAGTAAAGAGATCTAATTTGAATAAAAATTTAAGTTAAAATGACTATAATCATTGTATGTCTAAGCAGAAGGCTAGATCTCAGCACCAGAGGATTTAGTGTTCTCAGATATTCCTATTTTTTGAGGGGGTCCGGTGTGGGGCCTGAACTATGGGCCTAGGTGCTGTCCTCAGCTCTTCAGCTCAAGGCTAGTGCTCTACCACTTGAGCCACAGCGCCACTTCTGGCTTTTTTCTTTTTGCTTATGTGGTGCTAAGGAATTGAACCCAGGGCCTCATGCATGCAAGGCAAGCGCTCTACCACTGAGCCACCTTCCCAGCCCCATTTTCCTTTTTTTTGTACACCTTATTCTGAGAAATGTGTGTGTGTGTGTGTGTGTGTGTGTGTGTGTAAACAAGAAGTCAACTTTGGAAAACAGCATGGGTGTTGGTGGCCATTGCACCTGTTATTTTGGCCCTGACCCTTTCTTACTTTCAAACTGGCCTGAACCAGAGAAACAGAGTAAGGGAGACTCAACAGCTCTGGAAAAATTCTTACCTTAAAAATATCAGTTTGGGTCTGAGAAGGTGGCTCAGTGGTAGAATGCTTGCCTTGCATTCACGATGCCCTGGGTTCGATTCCTCAGCACCACATAAGCAGAAAAAGCCAGAAGCAGCACTGTGGCTCAAGTGGTAGAGCGCTAGCCTTGAGCTGAAGTGTTGAGGGACAGTGCCCAGGCCCAGAGTTCAGGCAAAAAAAAAAATCAATTTGTAGGCTGTAATTTACTTCACTTAGACTACTCAGAGACATTATTAAGCATTGGAATTCCATTAAGATGTTCTAGCCTTCCTCAGGTGGACAGAACAGGATCGGTGGTCTCAGGCAGGGATGAATCTTCACTGTCTTGGGCTGCTGGAGGTAAGTATCACAGTGGGAACAAAGAGAGTTAGCAATTTAATTTTGGTAAAAAAAAAAAAGTGGGTTATATGAGACTCATATATATATATAAAATCTATCAGGTCACATGACATTTCTTATTCAATACTATGGTTAAGGACATGACCTATCATGCAGAAAGAGTTAAGATTCCAACAACATGTTTCTTGACAGAAACCTTAAAACCCAAGAGGGTATGTAATGATCTGTTACAGTCAACCTAGATTAATCTACTCAGCAAAGCTCTCATTCTGAAGTGAAGAAGAACAAACTTTCAATATTAACCAAAAGCAAGAATAAGTCTTTATTCTCTAGATCAAATCCTTCCTTTGGTGCCTGTGCTGTTTTATACCCTTTCTCTAGGAAACCAGAATCACTGTGCTCCCATGTCAGCTGGGTCAGGGGCTCCTGTGGTCGATGCTCCCCATATCTCCATGCTACAATTAGTATGGCTTAGGAAAGGAATTCCAAGACCTACTCAGACCTTACACCAGTACACCAATTTAGATCCACTCTGATTTTTTATCTTTTCCATATCACATTTTTTGCTTTAATTTGTGTCTTTTACTAATCCAGACCTGGTTGCAACTGAGAGTACAGCTAAGTTTTAAACTTGTAATAAAATAATTTAAGACTAAAAATCGCTTTCAAAGTAGATTGTTATTGGGTGTCTAGTCCTAGATAGAATTGAAGATTGCAGTTCAAAGCCAGCCCAGGAAAGATGAGTCCACAAAACTCTTCAGAAGCAGAGCTGTGACTCCAGATAGAGCACTAGGTGTGAATGCACAGGTCCTTAGTTGAAGCCCCAGTGCTGGCAAAAAAAAAGGAAAGTAGCGTATAATGAAACCTTTATCTCATTTGCATTTCTATTTTGCTATTACATTCCTCTTGAAATGAATGAACATCTTGAAAATCATAAAGGAAAAAAGCAAGGCATGTTAATCACTGAAAGAGAATATCTATTATCATATAACATTTACTTTTATACATAAAAGTATCAAAAACTATTGTTAGTAAGAATGTGGTATTAGACTGGGTTAGACATCAAGATGGATGGACAAAGTTGGTGTACATTTATGCTTGTCAATAACACCTTATTTTTTAAAAAAAGAAGATAGTGAAGCAGGCATAATGTACACTGCTTATGATAATAGTTTCATAGAGCTTTCATACACACTTACTTGTCAAGACATATGCGTTAATTGTGTGAAACTTTTGTGCATATATAGAAAGTTAAGAATTGAAAGAAAAAACTGGAAAACATGTCAACTGTAGAATTTTAGACAGGTTTCTTTACAGGATCGTGTGCATGTGTGCACACAATTTGAGGCTAGATTCTTCAATACAAGCTGGGCACAGCCTGAAAACATTTGTTCCATCCAGGACTTCAGTCTATTGGATCTGTCCTGCCCACCTTTAGAGGAGCTTTTCATACTGTACAGAGTGCTAATCACCTATGGAAATAGCTTCACACACACATAGAAATGTGCATCACAAATTGAGACATCAATCTACTCAGACTGATAGTCAAAGTTAATCATGACAGAGAACAGTATTGTGTCTTTAATTTCCCTTCAGGCTCAAGTATTTTTACAATGATAAGATAGTAAAATAATCAACCCCTGCCTGCTATTACTCTTAGCTGCCATCACATCTAGGGAACAGATTGCCCTGTGCTACAGCTCAGGCCTTACTGGGGCCCCCATAGGTTTGAGTGCAGACTGCAGGTGTTGGGGGAGCACTGTGCACTCACTGCACAGAGGTAGGTGGCTGAGTCACTGAGCTGGGAGCCTCTAATGTGCAAGGAAAGATAAAGGCTGGCTCTATTGAGATGCACTGTGAATCTTCCCTCGTGTTTATCACCATTGGAGTATGTAGACATCAGCAGCTCAGGTCCCTTCCCAGAATACTGTCTGTACCACACGAAGTTCTGAGGAGCACTGTTCTTGTAAGTGCAGTTGAGAGAAGCAGTGGCTCCCTCTGGAACACTGAGGGACTCAGGATGCTGCTCCACCTCCTTTTGTTGGCTGTTCACCCCTGTGCAGAAAGACAAAGGTCAGCCAAAGACAATGGTTGAATAGTGGATGCTTTCTCTACAGACCTCTTACCCTCTCTCATTGACTAGTGAGCACTTTCATGTTTCTCCTCGCAGACCTGTAATATAAAACAACTACCAACACTGGACTTCATATCCCCATAAAAATGTTAAACTCACAGTTCATGTGAAGCCACAGAATCACTAGTAAGACACTCAGGGATCTCATCATTCTTTCCCTTGGATTCACTGAGGACTCAGAGAATAAACTGTAAAGGAAAATGTGTCTCATTGAGATATTCTCAGTACTGTGCTTTGGGAAACATAAAAAGACTCTTTTACCAATCAGAAAAACAAGCTTCTTTTCTTCACCCCCCAACTTCAGCAACAAGCTCCTCCCAGCATCCCCTTCACATGTAGTCACTCCCCACCACACAGTGCACTTGAGAAGGTCCCTTGGGATCCTTGAGAAGATGCTGCCCTCTAATGGTTTCTCAATAATGACTAAAGAATTATTCAGCATCCAGACCCATTTTATGTGAACCATTGAAAGTAAACCCCATGTTTTAGTGTATAGTAATTGTGCTATGGCTTTCCCTATGGTATTGCCAATGGGCATATATTATATTTTAGTTGGATGAACTTTTTACATTTTTCTCTCTGCCTATCCCCCTTTCCTACTACTGTTTGACAACTCTGTTTCTTTATGCCTTCATCATGCATGAATGCTTATATTTCACTATATTACTCACCATCTTTTATTATCTTTTACACTCTCTCTCCCAGTTGTTTTTGTGAGAAAATACCACAGTAATAATTATGTTATATATATATTATGTATAGAGATAATAGATAGATAGACAGATAGATAGATAGATTAGATAGAAAATTTTGGCAAAAAAATTTGGTGCCAGTCCTGGGGCTTGGACTCAAAACCTGGGCACTGTCCTTGAGGTATTTTTGCTCAAGGCTAGCACTCTACCACTTGAACCACAGCTCAACTTCTGAATTTTTTCTGGGAAATTGGAGACATGAGGCTCACAGACTTGTCTTGCCTAGGCTGGCTTTGAACTACCATCTGAAGATATTACCCTCCTGAGTAGCTAGAATAACAGGTGTGAGCCACCTATATCTGGTTTGAAGTGATTTTAAGAAGAGGATGGGAGGGAGAATGACAGAAAAAATGAGTTTGAGAAGGGTACAATGAATGTTTGTATGAAATTCTCAGAAGGAAAACCCATGTAGAACTAGTATTTGCAAACAAAAATGTGAAAAGATAAGACTAACACTAACTTTTTAACAGTAAAAGACAAACACATTTTTACAAACACTAACACTCAAGTTAAATAAATATTTGAGACACAACTGCTGAATATTATTGTGTGAAAATGATTGTTGGATCCAAACTTCGTGAGTATCAAGAGTATCTAGAGTAGGCATGAGCCACTTTATCTGCTTACTTAGTGGTTCTTTTTTAAGTTTTTTATTGCAAAAATGCTGTACAGAGGAGTTACAGTTACATGAGCAAGGTAATGAGTACATTTTCTATTGAGTACTGTTGCCTCCTCATTTGTCTTCCCCCTACCATCCCTTCCCTCCCACCTCCACAACTATCCTCCCCCACCCCCCTACCCAAAGTTGTAAAGTTCATTTTCAATATAGTATTTTGTACATCTCGGTGTTACAATGGGTCAACCTGTACACTTATTTAGCATTTTGTTTTTTTTCCTTCCCCTTCCCGAATTAGAGAAGTGTATATACAAGACTCAGGGCACCAAAATCAAATACAGTGAAAATGGGTTATACCACGGGGGAGAAACATACAAAGCAACAAAAAAATCACATGATACATTAAAAATACGTTAGAAACAGTACCAAGAAAAAAAAAAGATATTTGTATCCCTATCTTGGTTTTCATTCCGCTTGACATCATTTTATATGGTCATATGTACATAGCTTTTGGCCTTTTCTGCTTGACCTACATATGTACTAGTTATTGCAAATAAGGGAAACCATGGGATCTATGTTTCTTGTGCCCAGCTTGCTTCATTTCACTTAATATAATTTTCCCAAGTATTTCCATTTCCTCACAAATGAGGCAATGCCATTCTTTCCGATGGAGGCATAGAATTCATATAAATGTGTGTGTGTGTGTGTGTGTGTGTGTGTGTGTGTGTGTATCACATTTTCTTGATCTACTCATCTATTAAAGGGCATCTGGGTTGGTTCCATATCTTAGCTATGGTAAATAATGCTGCAATAAATATAGATGTGTTGGTAGCTAGACTTGCTATGGTATTGTTTTTGATCATTTGGGTAAATGTCCAAAAGTAGGATTTCAGGGTCATAGGGGACTTCTCTGTGGTGTCTTTTTAAAAAAATATTATTATTATTATTATTATGGAAATACCATACAGAGGGGTTACAATTACATGGGCATGATAGTGAGTACATTTCTTATCAAGCATTGTTGCCTTCTCCTTTGTTTCCCCATACCATCCCTTCCCTTCTCCACTCCCCCACCCCCACACCCCCTACCACCACTCCCCAACCCCGCCCTGCCAAAGTTGTAAAGTTCGTTTTTCCAAGTAAGGTCTTGTACATCTCATTGTTGTAATGGGTCCACCTGTAATCCTATTTAAACAGTTTGTTTTTTCCCTTCCCCTCTACAAATTATATCAACATTAAATACAGTGAAAGCAAGGCTTATACCCTGGTGAAAGTACATACAAAGCAACAAAGAAATCATCTTATAAATACGTTGGAAACAATCACAAGGAAGATAAAAGAACATTTGAATCCTTATCTTGGGGTTCATTTCACCTAACATCAACTTGTCTGACAGTTTCTCTTTGTCTCAGACATATACTAGTTATTGCAAATAAGGGAAACAATGGGACCTATATTTCTTCTTTTTACATGAAAAGTAAACATTTATTACTGGAGAAGAGAAAAATGTACACAGAAAGTCTGTATTCTTTCTGTTCAAGCACTGGTTGTAAAATAAGGTCCAAATGCCAAGTTTGAAGATATTTACAAGAATAACTTTTTCTGAATACATAACCATTTCCTGTGAGGTGGACTTTTTAAAATACAAAGTCTATACTGCAAACTAACTACAGTTTCTAAGAAGATAAGAGGAAGTAGTAACAGAATATGTATTACTATTTACTGCTAAATATAAAAGGGATACAGTGATGTGATTCTTAAATGTTTAATTGCTTGATTTGAACAGAGTAATGAAAAAAATCAAGACAGACTGGCTTTAAGACTTTTTGTATTCAATTCTTTCTACTTTCACATCATCTCCAATTAGCTGATGGATGTATGTGACCACTGTGGAAGCCTGGATGTCCATCAACACAAACGATGGAATAATATATGTGTCCAAGGCATTATATGCCTCAGTGGCAGAACCTGGGTTAATGTAGAATTTATTTTCATGCTCAAATGCTTCACATTTGTGAGTGTGTCCTGAGATAAGAATGTCCACATCGAACTGCCTCTGCAGCAGGGCCAGGCTGGCCAAGTCTCCCCACCAAATGACCTGATGTCCCTGGATCAAACAGATTTTGGGCTGTCCCACAGTCACAAATTTCTGTTCCGGGTAATTCAGGTTCTCATCGAAGTCTCCGCTCAGGATATGGAAGTCACCAGCCAGTCTTGAGATAGTCATAACTCTCTTTGGTGCAAAGGTTTCCAGTGCAGAGAATGTGCTGTATCTCCCCCGGTGCCAGCAGTTTTTGGAAATTAGCTGGGAAACTGTTGCACCGGTGAGGGATATGCAGATCTCCTAACACCAACACCAATTTGGCATACAAAGAGCAATCTTCACTCTACGGAAATTCTCTTCAGATATGGATTGAAGTACAGTTATTGTGAGAAGCATCCTGTCATGCTGCTTTGCCAGCACCCCAGCCCTCTTCCTCTAACTTGACCTGTATTTCTTTGGGCCTGGCTTACTTTACTTAATATGATTTTTTCAATTCTTTCCATTTCCTAACAAATAGGTCAATGCCATTCTTTCTGATGTAGGCATAGAATTCCACTGTGTATATATACCACATTTTCTTGATCCATTCATCTACTGAGAGGCATCTGAGTTTGTTCCATATCTTAGCTATGGTAAATAATGCTGCAATAAACATAGTTGTGCTGGTAGCTTTACTATGATCTTGTTTGTGATCATTTGGATAAATGCCCAAAAGTGGGATTGCTGGGTAATAGGGGAGCTCTCTGTGGAGTCTTTTGAGGAACCTCTATACTGCTTTCAAGGTGGTTGAACAAGTTTACACTCCCACCAACAATGTAGTGAGATTCCCTTCTGTCTACATCCCCTCCAGCATCTGGTGTTATTAGAGTTTTTGATTATAGCCATTCTTATGGGGTGAGGTGATATCTCAATGTTGTTTTGATTTGCATTTCTTTTATGGCTAGAGAGGTTGAACATTTCTTCATGTGTCTATTGGCCATCCTTCTTTCCTCTTCAGAGAAGTTTCTCTTTAAGTCTTTAGCCCACTTATTTATTGGGCAGTTGTTTCTTTGGAGATTTGTTTTTGGGAATACCTGGATATTTGAAATAGCTCACTTTGGTGATTTGTCCCATGTCATGGGAAATGTTGGCTGGGATTTCCTCTTACTTGGGAAGGAGTGGGGCCTTTTGGACTGAGCATTGACACTTCTAGAGATCACAAGCTTGTGACAGTCATCCTATCTTGCCTCAGAGTGATTTATAACCTCCTAAGAGTCTATGAATTCCACCTGAGACTGGATCTCATTCTGGAGGATGCTACATCAACACTGCCTGGAGAGAATTTTCTCCTCCCAGGATTGTGCCTATCAGCACCCTGGTTTATGAACAGCTGAATCTACAGATTTCTCACTGTGTCTCCCAGAGCGCAGTGATACACAGCTGAGTCTGACAGCTGGAGTGAAGATTTCTGAAGGTGGAAGGAGTTGTCACTCTTAACAAGAGTTGCCTGGAAACCCCGGTTCTCTGACCTCGGACTTTGTGTTGAACTCTTCAGGAGTAGCTGAGGGGCTTTATTGAGATATTGGACATACCAGAAAATAAAGACATTTGAGTAAGTGCTCTGGTAAGTACAGTTGAGGATCAGAGGTGTCCCCTCTGTGAAAGTAACCAAGCCTTCTGTCTGGGTCACTGAGTCTCCACTGGTCCTCCCTGAAAAGATAAGTAACATTGTTATATGAAGAAAAAGGCTAAATATTATCAAGATTGTAGGACAAGGACATATTGTTAATATATAGGATAAAATGTTACTTACTGCACACTAAAAGGATCACAAGAACAGAGAAGGTGACAGAAAGCATGTTGTTAGAAGGAAATGATTCTTGCTCCTTGTGATACACCCAGTCATACAGAGCTCTTTTCTACCAGGATTGTATTGAAACTCCTCACTCATGAATAAGACCTTCTTTCTGCACATCACTCTGACTTGTGACCACAAAGGGAGTAGGGGTGTTATACCACCTGAATGCAAATGGGACCTACATTTGAGAGTGCAGCGCCTTCTGGTGGTTTTCTGGAAAACTGCAAGACAGTATGGCTGATCCTGATTTTTTTTTTTAGGTTAAATTCTTTTTTTTTTTTTTTAATTTTTATTTATTTTTTATTGTGAAAATACTGTACAGAGTGGTTACAATTACATGGGCAAGATAATGAGTACATTTCTTATCAAGCGTTGTAGCCTCCTCCTTTGTTTCCCCTTCCCATCCCTTCCTAGCCTCTCCCCCTCATCCTCCACCCAATCCTCCCCTCACTCACACCAAAGTTGTAAAGTTTGTTTTCGACATGACAACTTGTACTTCTCATTGTTGCAATGGGTCCACCTGTATTCTTATTTAAACGACTTGTTTTTCCCCTTCCCTGCCACAAATTATACCAACATCAAATACAGTGAAAGCAGGGGTTATACTGTGGGGGAGGGACATACAAAGCAACAAAGAAATAATCTTATAAATGCGTTAGAAACAAATGCATGAAAGAAAAAACCATTTGAATACATATCTTAGGGTTCATTTTCCTAACATCACCTTGTCTGCCCATTTCTGCTCGACTCATACATATACCAGAAGAGGCAATCCAAAAATTCATATGGAGCAATAAAAGACCCCAATAGCAAAATGCTCCTCAATGGAAAGAACACTGATGGAGGAATATCAATACCAAATTTCAAACTCTACAATAAAGGCATAATAATCAAAATAGCTTGGTACTGGCACAAGAACAGACCTCATGACCCTGATTTTTTTATTTCAGTGGACTCCCTTATGAATGGGAGATAAGTTCCAAGGCCTCCCATCAATGCCAGAAACCACTAGTAGTACTGGACTCTATGTATGATATGTTTTACCACACAAATACATATATATGTAGACATACACATAAGATTTACTTATAAAGTTAGGTATTTTGTTACAACACGTTTCTGTCTACCAGGACACATGCTATATTCAAATCACCCACAGAGTAGAACATTTTCCATCTGACTAAGCCCCTGCTATGATCTGTAGCAGTAAGCTTTTCAGTGAGAGTTACAACCAAAAGAACTGGCACATATTTACTTGACAAACTACTTAGCAAGGTCTAGTGATACAGCTCAATGATGGACCACCTATCAAAATATGCAAGGCCCTGAGTTTGATTCCCCATCTCCACAAAAACAAATAAAACAAAGTGTAAACAGTGACAAAAGGGTAGCTAGTTGTGCCCCATGGACATTTTGTACAGGGATGGTTCTCTCCTGAGTGGCAGAGCACAGGGGTGCAAGATTTCACTACAATGCAGAGTGGCATGACACTGAAAACTCATACTCTTTTTATTTCTGGAACTTTCTGTGTAATACTTTTGTATTTTAATTGACGGCAGGTGATTAAAAACCATGTAAAGCAAAACATCCAATGCAGGAACTGCTATAAGACAGCTGAAGGGGAAGGTATATGCAGAAGGAAAACAGAATCAAACTTCAAGAAGAAAGCCATGGATATGTGCTTTACATATTTACAAGTGTACTTAGGATGCTGTGCAATTATTCAGAAATTCATTAACCATGCAGTTAACACAACGCCATAAGATCTGCTCACACCAGGCTCGCCAAGACTTCTCCACTCGAGACCTCCAAGACTCAGCCACCTCTTGAGAAAAAGCAATCATCTATCCCTGGGGCAGTGACATGAGGAGTTGTTTATCTCTAAAAAGCTCTGTCTCCCATCAGGACCACACTAGGGATCAAGCACTGCTTATGTTGCTTAAATGTTGTAATACAGAAAAAACTAACTGCAGTTGCCTGAAGGGTGGGAAAAGTCATATTACACAAAGAATCAATTAACTTTTTAAGAAAAACAATGCAGGGCAGAACACAACTAAATGACTAAAGGAAAACTATTTTATTTTATTTTATTTTTTAATTTAATTTTATTTTATTTGTGAACATACTGTACAGAGGAGTTAGAGTTACATGGGCAGGATAATGCGTACATTTCTTACCAAGAATTGCAGCCTCCTCCTTTGTTTACCCTTCACATCCCTTCCCAGCCTCCACCCTCCCCCCCTAATCCCAATCCTTCTCCTTCCCCCCCCCCCCGCCCCCCCCCCCGGCACCAACATTGTAAAGCTCGTTTTGGACATGACAACTTGTACTTCTCATTGTTGCAACAGGTCCACCTGTATCCTTAAACAACTGGTTTTTCCCCATCTCCTCCACAAGTTATACTGACATCAAATATAGTGAAAGCAGGGGTTATACTGTGGGGGAGGGACATACAAAGCAACAAAGAGATAATCTTATAAATGTGTTAGAAACACATGCATGAAAGAAAAAAACATTAAAATACACATCTAAGGGTTCATTTTCCTGACATCACATTATCTGACCTTTTCCGCTTGACTCATACATATACTAGATATTACAAATAAGGGAAAACATGGGACCTACGTTTCTTTGGGCCTGGCTTACTTCACTTAATATAATTTTTTCCAAGTTTTTCCATTTCCTAACAAATGGGGCAATGTCATTCTTTCTGATGGAGGCATAGAATTCCATTGTGAATATATACAACATTTTCTTGATCCATTCATCTACTGAGGGGCATCTGGGTTGGTTCCATATCTTAGCTATGGTAAATAATGCTGCAATAAACATAGTTGTGCTGGTAGCTTTAGTGTGGTCTTGTTTGTAAACATTAAGGTAAATGCCCAAAAGTGGGATTACTGGGTCATAGGGGAGTTCTATGTGAAGTCTTTTGAGGAACCTCCATACTGCTTTCCAAAGTGGTTGAACAAGTTTACATTCCCACCAACAATGAAGTAAGGTTCCTTTCTGTCCACATCCCCTCCAGCATCTGTTGTTGTTAGAGTTCTTGATTTTTGCCGTTCTAACTGGAGAGAGGTGATATCTCAATGTTGTTTTGATTTGCATTTCTTTTATGGCTAGGGATGTTGAACATTTCTTCATGTGTCTATTGGCCATCCTTCTTTCTTCTTCAGAGAAGTTTCTCTTTAAGTCTTTCGCCCACTTATTTATTGGGCAGTAGTTTCTTTGAGGATTTGTTGTTGGGAGGTTTAATTTTTTGAGTTCCAAGTATATTTTGCATATGAGACCCTTGTCCGTTGTATGGCTAGTAAAGATCTTCTCCCAATCCGTGGGTTTTCTATTGATCTTGCTAGCTATGTCATTTGCCCTGCAGAAGCT